GAGTCCCGGCCCTGACATGGTGCATCCTAGAGTGCTAAGAGAGTTGTGCAACGAGCTTGCCGAGCCCCTGAAGTTTCTGTTTTGTAAATGCCTGGATGAACAAAAGGTCCCCAGTGATTGGAAAGTGGCTTATGTGAGTCCTATCTTCAAGAAGGGTGATCGTCACTCCACGAACAACTATAGACCGGTGAGCCTGACCAGCATAATATGTAAAGTACTTGAGAGTATTATCAGAGATGCCGCGATGGAACATCTACATCTACTACGAAACAACCTTGTAAAGGATTGCCAATACGGTTTTATGCCGGGGCGCTCCTGCTTAACACAATTGCTCAAGGTATTGGATATTTGGACCCATATTCTGGAACGGGGTGGTAATATCGACAATATTTACCTAGATTTTGCCAAGGCTTTCGACAGTGTACCCCACGAAAGGCTGAAAATCAAACTGGAAGGGTACGGAATTCGGGGAAATGTCCTAGCATGGATAGAAGACTTTCTACATGACCGCAAGCAGTGTGTGGTGATTAATGGCACGAAATCATCATCCGTACCTGTCACAAGCGGGATAGCACAGGGCAGTGTATTGGGCCCGCTGTTGTTTGTTTGTTTCATAAATGACATGCCTGACGTTGTACACTCCTCAATACAAATGTTTGCTGATGACACCAAGTTATTTCGGGAAATCAAGAACCAAGCGGACTGTGAAGAGGGGCAGAAGGACCTCTGTGGGCTCCAGGAATGGTCGAAGAAATGGCTGCTGAGACTTAATGTCACGAAGTGTAAGAGGATGCACCTGGGGCGTACCAACGGTAAGGAGGCGTATCATATGTCCCAACGGGATGAAGAAACTGCAAAATTTGAGACTGAATGTGAGAAGGACCTAGGTGTGCATGTTGACAATGAGCTGAAGTTCTCGGGCCATTGCGAGAAGAAGGTAAATCAGGCAAATAAATTATAGGGTCTTATAAGAAGGTCGTTCAGATATCTAGACGGTCCGTCCCTCGTAACGATCTTCAAGAGTGAAGTGCTTCCCCATCTGGAGTACTGTTACCCCGTCTGGTCCCCGAGATATGCTAGGGACTGTCAGTTGGTTGAAAATGTTCAAAGGAGGGCCACCAGACTGGTGCCTGCACTTCGGCACCTCAGCTACCCTGAGAAATTGGAGTGCCTGAACTTGCCTAGCTTAAACTACAGACGGGTAAGGGGTGACCTAATTGAGGTGTATAAGCATTTCAAGGGGCACTACTCAGTCGAGTGTCCGTACTTGGAGCTGGCGGACGCTCGACCCACAAGGGGTCACAGCTCAAGATTGAAGAAGCAGTAAGTCCAGAAAACTGTGAGGAAAACCTTTTTCGGAGTGATGGTTGTAAACTCTTGGAACAATCTACCAGAAAGTGTTGTGACGGCACCGAGTGTGAGCTCTTTCAAGACAAGACTTGACCAACACTGGAGCAGGTTCAGGTTCATTCAGGAGCCGGTGCATGCCCAGTACTTGCCAACAGTGCGTAACAGAGACGTGACCGATCGCTCAAGCGGCTAACGAGCCGATCAGTGGTGAAGAGGATAAAAGCGAAAAAGTACAAAATTCTGGCACTTGACTTTGTATAATTATTTAATTGAGGATAACTTTAGCTAAGGGCATGTCAAGGCCAGAATCCTCAAAGTCTTGAAAGTTAAATTCATCTTGTTATTAAAGATGTGAAAATTTGCTCTGAGACCATGTTAAGGAGAAAGTATCCCATTAATCAATGAAAATTCAGTCAAATAAATTGTTATATGTACGGTGTTGTCTGTGTGAGAACATGCCATACTTATATTCAGTTGTGCTTCAACAATAACATTAAGAGTACCGCACTTGACCCTTGAGGTACTAGTGTATGGTAACGTTCAGGGGTCGGGTTCACAAATGTTCGTACGTCGATTGTACTCGCAACTGAAGCCGTAAGAATTTTTCTGTTTAACTTGAGCTAAATTAGAAAGATTACATCTAAAAATATCATCAAAATTACACTGAAATTATTATACCTTTACTGGAGGTGATTAGTGCCACTTTCCACTTAGGGAATAAGAGAATCAAGATAACAGTCATAATCACTTCGCCACTGACTATAGGACGAAGTCATATAAACTAACCTATTCTAATCTAACATGATTTCAGCTCAACTTATGAAACCTAACATAACGTCACTTCACCCGAACCTTTTTCGCCTAAATTCCCGAATATAATTTTACCCAACATCACCGATTCTGACCTAGCAGTATACTATAACATAATTCAACAGTTTTAGAACTTGAACACACAGAAGGGTATTCTATTCACTTGGCTTGTGCTTGTGGGATCTTGTCCAGAGGGAAAAGATTTTGTCTTTAAATCTTTCCTACTGGATTGACTTAAACTCCTAAAACACACACAAACACACACACACACACACACACACACACACACACACACACACACACACATTGGAGATATAGTATTTTTTCAGCTGTGTTTGTATTATAACTACTATTCCCCGTCAACTTGTAATAAAAACTAACCTAACTGACAAATATCCAGAGCAAATTCCTGAAGATTTGAATGTAAACCTAAGATGGTCGGCAAATATCTTGACACATTGGGGTAGATTTATATGTACTATCCCAGTACAGTATGTGATATGTGACTCCAGGTGCTAGTTGAGGCTATGTCAGTTGTGACACCTCTAGGAATCTTTCATTAGCACCAAGATCATAGGAGATACGACCTTAAATTGATAGCATTCTGGGCCTAAGGTGTCCCCTGATCTCTCTATCCTTCTTTCTCTTTCTTCTTGTTCTCCATGTGCTGTACAGTCAACCAAAGATGCACTGACCCCACCTGAGTCTCGTGCTCGCAATTTTACCTGACAATACTTGGTGAAGTTGTATGTAATGGTGAATGTGATTGGTGGATCTATTTTCGGCTGTATCAGTCAGGATAAATATTACACAAACCAAAGGTAACATTTTTGTAATAAAAAACTATTCTTCATTATTTTAGATCAGGAGAAGTTTCCAAATGTTTGTTTATTTGTTTAATTAATGAAGAAAATTTGATGTGAGAATCTTGTGGCAACTGGGGGTTGTAGATGAGCTGCCAATTCATTAATATAAATTTCTTCATTATTTAAGCAAATATACGAAAATTTAGAAACTTCTCATGACCTAAAATAACGACGAAGAGCTTATTATTATAAAAATGTTACCTTTGGTGTGTTCAATATTGATCCTGACAGTGATAGAGCCGAAAATAGATCCACCAATCACACTACCTTTACACACAGCCTTACTTCACCAAGTATTGCCAGGTAAAATTGCGAGCACGAGACTCAGGGTGGGGTCAAGTGCATCTTTGGCTGACTGTACGTCCGGCTACAAGAACAACAAAACTACCAACCCTTTCGTCGGCAAGTGTTGCCAGCGATGGGGGGACGGGATGGACGTAAACGCCCCAGAAGAGGCGTCCCCCTCTCTCATGGATACAGACATTTCTGATACGGATAGTCATACTGAATCCCACACCCTGCAAGAGTCAGACCCCAGTGATAGTGACAGTAACAGTAATTTTTCTGTGGGAAACACTTGCAGCGAGCTTCCCCTCACCACCCGCCCCTCTGCCAACCAACCAAGTAAGCTGAATCTGCACTTCCCCGAGGACTCACTGAAAACCGTCAAGGAATAGTTTATTTGGACAACAAAGCATTACAACACGGTCTCACCATTCAATTCCGAAAAGGAAAAAACCGTAACTTTATCAAGTGTCAGACACCTGAGGTCTATGAAATACTTATTACTGTTGGATTTGACGGGGTAGCACAATGCTGACTCACGGCAATGCCCCAAACGTCTGCCTGTCCCAGGATAAAAGCCTCCCCGAAGGCTGCGTCAACCTCAACCTCCCCCCAGCCTGCCAGGCCGCATCCCTCTGGGTCCCCTCCTCTGGCAACACCTCCTTCTTCAACAACACCTGCCCCTGCCTGGCCTCACCTGGCTGCAACACAGCAGTCCCGGCCGTCTCCTAACTCAACTACTACAGGGCCTCCTCACCGTCTGTACTCTGACGCTGTCAGGCCTTGTGCTCCCATCGGTGCCCCCCTCCCCCACAACCTCCCGCCAGTGACACGACACAGATCATATCCCTCTTCCATAAATTTACCAACCATGTTGAAAAACTCTGTGATACACTCTGTACCGCCATCTCCTACCTACACCGACTACCCCTGCCTTCACCTGCTACCCAGTCACTCCCCTCTTCTGGTTTGACTCAAACTGGTAGCCTCCCTGTGTGCTCCTCTTGCTCACGGCCTACTCCACCGCCGCCTGGCATCACTGCTGGCGTGGCACCTACCGAGCCTGCCCCGGTGTGCCCTGCTGCCCCCGTCCACCCACCGCAAGCAGTGCCTGCTCATGTCTCTGAGCTGTCTCCACCAGGGCCCCCTTTTGGACCCGAGGACACCACTCCAGGCTCCCCGTCCCCCATCGGCATGCCAGCACCTGGGGCCCATCCACTCCAGTTCTCCACATCAATTGACCACCATGAGGACATGCACATGGACTACGTATCTAAACCAAGAAGGATGTCCCCTACCAACCTCTCGACGTCCCCCCTGAAGCCAACACTACCGACGTACACACCATCACAATCACACTAAAAGGTATGTCCCTCAATATTGTCAATACCTATGGCCTGGCACTTGACATTATTAGGGACCTGCCACACTTTGTTATAAACAGATAAATTGTACCGGGAATTTTCCCCCACACACTCATCATTCTGTCACTTTATGTAACTTGCTGACAAAACCCATGACCCTCCAGGCCTTTACGCCCTTAATGCATGAATCATAAAGGCAAGCATGAACTACGCATGCTTCCCAGATGGGCGCTGCAAACGCTTCTGCGCTTCACTTTGCACAGGATGTAAGGGGGTGCCTAATAAACTAGCCCCCTCGGGGGAAATCTAAAAAAAAAATAAAATAAAATAATAAGACTCGTGCACCGCTGTACACTTGTAGATTTACATTTAACGGCTACACGAGCAACAGTAAAATGACCAGTATATAACATCTGGGTACCTACAACTTGACCATAACACCAAAGTACAGAAGGGAGAAGGAGAGAACTCATCGTCATCATTTTGGGTTGAAAATGGGAAGTAATATTAGCAACAGGTAGCAATTTACTGTTGTCATTGTGAAGTGTCTGCAAGAACCTTCTAACACCTGGCATTGTATAAGTTTCTCAATGATAAAGATAAGCTTGTGGGTATTCTAGTTCTTATAGTGTACGGTATCTTTCAACCTAGGGATACCCGTGTCGTTACACCATGAAACATGTGAGTGACAAGAAGAAAAAAAGCACAGGGTTACGACCCTTAGTGCGACCACAGTAAGAAAGTCGGAACGCTGTTTCGGTTTTTCTTGTCTGTCACCTGTTTCGAGCAAAATCTACGCTAGTGTGGCCGCACCTTCTCATTGATAAACACAAGGACTTTTACTTCTCTCTGGTTTACATCTCTAATAATAGCTAAACAAAATCACGGAGGACTGTTTTGTACTGCTTTTAACTGTATCACAGCGGCCACTTTATTGCTATGTTGCCTAGGGTTTTCATGAAGAGCTCGGGAGGGAGGACCCTGTCATAAGAGCACCAACAAGGGCAATAAATATCGTCTGGCTTTTCACGCGTCCCAGTAGTGAAATACTACTGCAAGCTAAACCAGACGAACGTTCGCCAGCCTTCCCCTCTAACCCGCAATGACACAGTTGCAGAAGCTCCACCAGACTAATGTGTCGCTCCTTCTGCCGCCTGTAAGCACTCTTTTAAGGTTTAAGGATGTCATTCTTTTCTGCGTCATTCACAGTTTCCACATATTTGTTTCTCCTGAAGCCGCTGAAGGTGGGGCTGAAGGGCAGGTATCGCAGCCACTTCACTCTGAAAAATCACAAAATTTAATGATTAATGATATATATGGACTTAACGTAAAGAGCTCGTACATTAAGTTTTCCAGTAACTGGGGAACAAAGAACTAGCCACACCAGTTGACATATTAAGCTGTGTTATAAAGAAGGATTCCTTAAAGTTCTCCCCTCTACCTGCTACCTGTGTATGTGAGAACACATTTAACTGACCCATTTAAGTTTACACACAAAGTTTCGTCCCAGTAGAGAATGTGAGAAAACATCTAACTGTGAGCAAAATTACAGTGAGTTTTACACTAACTCGATCTGGATCTTTTACCACGAGACATAATTGTGGCTCCTGGACGATAAGAACTAAAATACCAAAGCTGATATGGTTAAGAAAGAATTTTTTTTAATTTTATTAAATATTAAAGGTACTCTGGAAGTTATCTTTCTCTCTCACTCTGTTAGTGAACTTTTAAAAGTATGTCGTGAAAAGATGAGGTGTAATAGAGACACACTCTCTCTGAGCCACTGACCTTCTGATGGCCGCCATCCCCCAGGGCATGTCGTAGCACACTGACACCTTGTGGGTTGTGCTGGATTGGTAGAGGTGACGGTTCCACTCTAACAGTCCTCGCTCCTCTGCTGTACCTGTCAGGTCAGTCACATGGTCAGTGTCAGACACAGTTCAGTATTTATAACACATCTTTTAGGAATAAAGTCACTCTAATTACAGCATAATTAGGCAGTCAATAAGTCACCCTAGTTACAGCATAATTAGGCAGTCAATAACTGGCTCATGTCGTACATTAACAATAGAACCTAGGAGGAAACTCTCGTCACAGTCAGAGCTGGTCTACCTTACAGATGAGCTTATATAGGTTGTATACCTGCACTGTTTGTGCACATGCTGAACAAATGTGAACTTGTAGATAATCTTACAAAATATGTATATATAACAGATGAAATTTATCTTAAAACAATTTAATCTAAATATAGTATTTACGTTTAGTAATATAAATAGTTTAAGTCAATTCGCACACAAAGTTGACCTACAGAGATATCACTAGTCCACAGAAGGGCATCGCACCTTGCTCTAAAAATAAGACTTACTGTTGTGGTGTTGTACTGACCACAGTCATACATGTTATTTAAAGTAAAATCAGACGATTCATATTACGTTCAGTAGCCCAACTTCATCACTGAGTCCCCCACAAACAATTACATAAGGTAACACTGGTAACTATATTTACAGTACCTGCTTTTATTGTACCATCAAAACCGTTTTATCGGAAATTATCATGTAATAAATAAGTAATTACCATTGCAATAAACATAATTGCCAACTAGACAATCCTGACAGCTCTGTCCTCTTGTTCAACCTTATTACTGTACAACCCAGGTTGTACTGCTCCCCCATTATACTTATGTTTTTAAATTCCACTGTAAATTATATGTATATGTGTATGTGTATGTTTATGTATGTGTATGTGTGTATGTGTATATATGAATATATATATGTATATATGTATGTATATATGTATATGTATGTGTATATGTATGTATATATATAAAAATAATAATAAATAAATAAAATAAATAAACATTGAAGTGATAACCGTGGCAACATTATGAGATGTTCTTATTACCACCATGCTATTGTACTATTCCAGATGATACTAAATGTTACATAATACTTCCTTGAGATAAATGTACAGTATATATCAGGTGCCTCAAAGAGAGCTCAGGTTCTCAACTGGCTCAGCCATGTTAATATTGTTATTATTATCTACTCTGTATCTGTATTTTTCTGGCTAAATAAACTGTTTCAATTCTGTTTCAATTTAGCTACAAAGCTACAGGGCTACACTGTTATATAAAGTGACAGCTTCACAAGTGGCTGTTACAAGTGGTGCCAACCCAAGGTTTGTTACAAATATAACAACTTCATAAGGTGTTCAGTGGTAGAATTCTCGCCTGCCATACAGGCACAGCTTCAAGGCTGTTATTCCTCCACATCAAAGTAACAACCCCAGGTTGTTACAAATAGACAGCTCCAAGGCTGTTATATGACAGCTTCAAAAGCTGTTATATAAGGTGACAGCAGTGGGATACTACCTATATCTAGAATTAGTGTCAGTGTTTTCCAATAAACCGTGACGATTTTTTCTAAGTGTCATTCTCCATAGTGCACCAGAACATATACCGTATATATCCTCGTGAGACGTTATATGTTGAGTGGTACTCATTTGTCATACCAGATTGACATACATTTCTTTTATCAAAATCAATCACCAAGTAAGTTACTGATAATTCATGTTATTGTGGCAACACTTGCCCAAGACGGGACCACCGCCGCACCCAGCAATCACCCCACCCAGTGGACATGAACCTGTCAGCAAATTCTTCTTCGCCTGGCGTGAGGAACCCCCCCCCCTTTCTACTCAGGCACCCCATTATTGAGCACCTCCAGCCCCCAGGTTGGCCAATACCAAGCCAACAGACCGGAAACTGTTTTGACTTGGTCAGCGATCTTCGTAAGCCCAGGGAGGTGGATGTCCTCTGTGACCCATGGTGTGAACCCAGTGAGATACCCACCCCAAGAAAACCCCCCTCGATGGTACCACCCCCAGTCTCCAACTCAGGTTGTTAAGACGTCAGCGCATTTGGACAACACCTGCGGTGGAAGTACCCTGTGACCCATTGAATGAAACCCAGTGACACCCGAACCCAGGGAACCTGGGTCAGGCAGCCAGTCGCATCTCCAGTGCTGAGGTCATCGGATTCGATTGTCTTGACAACTAGACCGCCATATTGGATTCCTTGGCACCGCCATCTTTTTTTTTTTTTTTTATCGGGCACTCCCCTACATTCTTGTGTAAGGTGAAGCGCAGAAGCGTTTACAGCGCCCAACAGGGAAGCATGCTAAGTTCATGCTTGCCTTTATGTCTCGTGAATTAAGGGCGTAGAAGCCTGAAGAGTCAGTGGTTTATGTCATCAAGTTATCGGAAGCTCCAACAACTTGTCCCTGAATACGAATTCGCAACTTTCGACTTACAACAGGTACCTACTTTACTGCTAGGTGAACCGGGACTAATGGGGGCTAGTAAGTAAGTCCAAACAACTTCCACCAGCCCGAGAATCGAACCCGTGACATCTCGCTTGCGAGGCAAGAACGGTGCCGCTTCTACCACCGGTCCCCCCGTCATCTTGTCTACTAACAACAAGAAGTGACCGTGACAACTAACAACAAGAAGTGACCGTGACAACTAACAACAAGAAGTGACCGTGACCCTGACCATGATTTTTTTCTACCCAGCTGAATGTCGCGAGAAACAAAGCATAGAGAAAATCCAAAACAGAGCGATGAGACTCATCCTCGGCTGCCCCATGACCACCAGAATAGAAGTCATGCAGCGTGAACTGATCCTTCTTCCCGTCTGCGATCGAATTACTGCTCTCAATGCCATCCTTGGTGTTAAACTTCTTCGCGGTGAGAAACCGACTCCCCTGTCCCGCTCACTGAACTCACATCTTCACACCCTCCTGCGTTGGCCTGCCCCCATTACCTCTCCCTCCCTCTCTCAACACTGGCCCGTCCACACTGCTGCTGACATCCAGCGTTATCACCTCTACACCCCCTCGATCTCTCCCTCCTGAGTACACTCATCCACCTCTACCGCCTTGGACTTCCCCGAGTGTTGATGTTGTCGTCCACACCTTCCCTGGTCGTAAATCCACCCAACTGCGGTATATGCTCAAACTTAACTGCCTTGAGCAGATTGATGATGTCGCCTCTTCTCTTACGACCTCCCACCCTCCTATCCTCGTCTACTGTGATGGGTCTGTCACCACGCTGGGCTGCGCTGGGGCAGCTGTGTGGATTCCTGAGCGCCGGGCCCGCAGGAAAATTAGGGTCCACGACTGGGCCTCCTCCACTGACACTGAAAGCATAGCCATCCTCGCGGACATTCATGAGGGGGCGACCTATGCTCGCACTGAACACCGGAACCTCCTTATAATCAGTGATAACACTTCTGCGCTAGCGAGGCTCAAATCACCCCCCTCCCCCTCCTCCCCTGCCGCCCAGCACACCCTAGCCGCCGTCGCCGGGCTAGAGCAGACTGATGACATCCGTGTCAAGTTTATCTGGATCTCGTCACACATAGGAATAACTGCCTGTGACACTGTTGATCGTCTTGCCAAAGAAGCGACACAAGAAGAAGATACTGAAGCCACCCTCGCCCTCTCCCTGAATCATATCAAATCTCGCATACACGCCACACAACGAGAAGCATTCGACGAAAAATGGACACACCTGAAACAACGGGGTAGCGTCACACTATGCCACTTTGACGCTGTAACCGGTGACGACAACCGCCACTACAAAGAGTATCAATCCCTGACTCGTTCTCAACAGTTTATGTACATGAGACTGCGCCTCGGGTACAGGTACCTATGGGAGTACATTGGCAACCCTGAGTCTGGCCGCACTGTTTGTAAACTTTGTGGCCAACCCGACTCTCATACCCTCCCTCACTACATCCTCACTTGTCCTAAGACCTCCTCCTACAGGTCCCCAGCCGTTACCAACACCTCTTCCCTCCCTGACCAGATATCCCTCCTCCTAGTCACAGGCCTGGCAATTGACATTATTAGGGACCTGCCACGCTTTGCTATGTCAGATGAAATATACCGAAATTCCCCCACACACACACTCATCATTCTGTCACTTGATAAAACCATGCCTTTGAGCATCCAGAGTTCAAAAAAATGTCAAACACCCGCTGAATTCTACAGATTTTCAGATCAGACTTTCAAGAAATTCCCAGAATTCTTAAATTCTTCAAACAAGTCTACTTAAAAATAGGAATGCCACAGACATACACTATATTTCTATACACATTAACATATTCTACAGCATACCATCACACGTAAGACGTCGTGATAGGCTAGTTATTAATCTATAAGTGTCTTACTCATTCACCCAGCATGATTATAGCAGCAAAAGTTGTACGTTCTATATCACCTCAAGATGGCATGGCTAAGAAGGAACATTCTTAAACACGAAGTAGGAGAGGATTATTTCTGCCATTTCATTTTTCATGGGGATTTGCTATACCTAGTTTAACTGTTCCCATTATTGTCTTAATTTTGGCAGTGGTGTTTTTGTTTTGTCATTATAAGTCAGTATCTTCCAAGTTTGCCACTGTACATAATATGCTCTCCCATAAGGCACTTCAGACTAGGGCTCCAGTAGCTGCTCGACCCCAAGTTGTTACAAATAGACAGCTCCAAGGCTGTTATATGACAGCTTCAACAGCTGTTATATAACTAGTGCCTCACGTCCACCATATTAAGTGAATTTAACTCAGTTGAATTTTGTTGAATATATGAGTGTTCAAGTCTTAACATAGCTGAGAGCCTTATGTACCAATTAAGAAAAACATAACTAGACATCGTCTGTGTTGACTCCATGCAATTCCCCTGCCAGATGTGTATGATAATTTGTATTTGATTTGAGACTTTTTTGACGCTCTCTCATCGTATCTCAGGCACTGTGGGTGTTGTTGCCGTTGCTTGCTGCTACCGACAACCGGAAGCAGCCTGTAGGCAAGATGTCCGACGCAGGATGTCTTTAATCCAGTGAGATTAGAAATCAGAGGGAATGACGCATCCTGGAAGCTAACCAAGGGAGAATAGGCTCCCAAGCACTGCGCGTCGGAGTTTAACAAGGCTACAGCCAAGCGCATGTATTAGAACACTAGAGGGGTGAGCCTGGTGTACTCATCTTGATTATATGTGCAATGTAGTATTCTTGTACATGATTGTGGATAATTATCAAGAATATAATTGTCCCAGGTCGAGTAGGGAAACCACAAATATTGCTATTACCAGTACGGCATTAGAGTTTGTTATATGTTTTGAGTAAACCATCTATGTATACTCACAGATGAGGTGCTGGTATATATTTCCTGTGATAGCAGGTTGCTCTAAATAATAATACCATCATTCTGTACTATTAGCAAGTGTGTAAAGTGACCATCTTTATTGGCAGTGATATATAATAATATCCTTAAGGAGGTATAAGTATTGAATGTTAATTGAAGACCTATTATTTTACTTGTACAGTAAGACCTGGTGATCCGTTTTTGTCTGAGTGTTTACAGTAAAGCAATCAGTGAATGAACCTAGTTTTTGTTGTTGTGAAGAGAAGGTTCAAATTGTCATACTATTCACATTTGATTTGAATAAATATTGATAAGTAGATTGTGAGTATCACCGCTCCTCCCTTCCAAAACTTGGCTTATCAGATAATAAACACTGTAACCCACATGCCTAAGCTCATTAAAGGGTTAGGTTGTGTGGCTAACCCTTTAATGATACAAGTTATATTCTAACTAAAAGCCTGGGTGGTGGCAGTCTACTTTGTAAGTACAGTATACTAATTATACTAAGAGGTGATACTTTTAATTTTATCCTCTTCACCACTGATCGGCTCGTTAGCCGCTTGGACGATTGGTCACGTCTCTGTTACACATTGTTGGCAAGTACTGGGCATGCACCGGCTCCTGAATGTACCTGAACCTGCTCCAGTGTTGGTCAAGTCTTGTCTTGAAAGAGCTCACACTCGGTGCCGTCGCAACACTTTCTGGTAGATTGTTCCAAGAGTTCACAACTCTCACTCCGAAAAAGTTTGCCCTCACAGTTTTCTGGATTTGCGGCTTCTTCAATCTTGAGCTGTGACCCCTTGTGGGGCGAGCGTCCGCCAGCTCCAAGTAAGGACACCCGACTGAGTAGTGCCCCCTGAGATGCTTATACACCTCAATTAGGTCACCCCTTGCTCGTCTGTAGTATAAGCTAGGCAAGTTCCTCTCCCGAATGATATGGTTTTCCCAGGTTAATCCATTAAACAGAATATAACTAAGCACAGCTGCGATTAAAAGTAAATAAGAGGAAATACACAAACAATATGCACTAAGAAAGTCTTGATAAAAAAGGAATAATTAATTATTTAAAGAAATATAGAAAGGAAAGAAATAAGAATATAGAAAAGTATAGAATACAAAAATATAGAAAATAAAGTAAGATAACAAAGAAAGTTAAAGGTTATATAAGTTATAGAAAACTATAATAACAGAAAATAAATATAAATTAATAAGTATAAAAGTAAACCTCTTACAAATATTCTCAACTGATGAAATGACTGATCAACTGATGGAATAATTATTATAATTTCTCCCCCTTACACATGTTAGCAGTTAGCTAGTGGGGATAAATTTGGGCATTACAGTGAGCGAGGCGGAGGGACTTACCAGGGATAGTATTGTCGAGGAAGAAGCCCAGAGAGCCACCTACAAACATGGGTGTCTGGAGCAACACCCTCAGTACCTGGTCCAATATGGGCCACCCCGTCTGTATTACATCTGGGGACCCTTCTATCCACTGGTGAAAATAAATGTTCAAGGCAGTGTTAGAATATTTCAAGTTAATGTCTATCCACTTATAAAATATTAATAGTTATGTTAAAATGTTTCATGCCGATCACTACTCTCTGATATTGTTGCTACACCACACTGTAAACTAAGCTTCAGTGCATAACAACAGTGAACTTATCCACCTTCACTTCCCAACAGTAAAGTTAAGTACTCCTTTATTGCTGAATTTTATAAGTTGACTTAAATCAGAAGGCCAGCGAAGTTAAGCAGAAAATTGATCAACGAAAAAGTGTGGTAGAGTAAAGTATACTTGAATTAATTTTTTGCATCATCTTACTTTTGAAACAGAAAGACCGAGGAAGATGGAGTGGCCAAGAACGAAGATATTCCTGGAGGATCTGAGGTTGACGTACTGCAACGGTGTGAGGCCAACAGCGGTGATCATGGAGAACATGGTGATGAAGACGCCGGCCATCACAGGCTCAGGGATGGTCACGAACACCGCCCCGAGCTTACTGAACACCCCTGAGACGATGAGTATGACAGCACTGAACTGCACCACCCGGCGACTTCCAACCTACCGGATACATGGAAAGCTGTGAGTTTAGCCTGATTGACTGTGTTGAAGTGCTGGTGTGTGAGCCCTACCGTCATCTTGCCTCATCACCAAACTACGGAACGAGTGTCGCCTGGCCTATCTTCAAACTAAGAGCTTCGCCTTCCCTCCAGCCAGGGGGGGGTAAAGAAACTTTGCATCCTGACGTACTGTACACTGGAAACTGTGTACCTACGCGGTCTATGAACACCATATACCTGCACGGTCAATAAACACACTGAACTGCATGCCTGCCTAGTTCATACATATGTCAAACCAACTTTTAAACATGTATGATGGTTTTCCTGATTAAATATTATTATTATTATTATTAATTAATTAAAACATCATGAGCAGATGCCCATCGCCCACGAACCGTTACCATGGCAGGGTACGTATTGCACTACTGATGCTGTTACTATAGATTAATGTAATCACTGTTGGAGACTGTTTCAGGTCATTATCTTTAACAACCTAAAAATCTTGTGTTATTGTATGAACCGTTACCATGGCAACACTTAGTCCGTTTTGACGTGATTGCACCAAAACCTGATTATTTAGAGCACACATTGTCAAGTGTTGATAAGATCTTCTATGTTTGGTGCAAATCAGCTCACCCGTTGTTGAGTTATTTTGGGGGCAGGCAAACAGGCAGGAGAGAAAACAAAGTCCTGCCCAGCAATTATGGGTGCGATAATAATTTTACCATCAGTGTTTATATATATATATATATATATATATATATATATATATATATATATATATATATATATATTTGAACGAAGTATCAAGACGGACACACAGTTTACGGAAGACGGTGTAGAAAGATATGCATTGTACATGCGAATTCAATCATTCAACACAAAAATGATTGTCAGTTTTTACATAACATTTATCCCTATTCACATGAGTACCTTGGTGACGCTGATGACGCCGATGTTCTGGGAGCAGGAGGTGGTGCCGTTACCTGTCCCTAGTAGACCTGCTAACAGACAGCCAATGCCCTCCATTCCCACCCCGCGGTTGATGGCGTTCACCGGCGGTGGCGGAGCTCCTGCGGGAGACAACACTAAGCTATTGAGTTTCCTGCAGGAGACAACACTAAGCTATTGAGTTTCCTGCATGATACAACACTAAGCTATTGAGTTTCCTGCATGATACAACACTAAGCTATTGAGTTTCCTGCATGATACAACACTAAGCTATTGAGTTTCCTGCATGATACAACACTAAGCTATTGAGTTTCCTGCATGATACAACACTAAGCTATTGAGTTTCCTGCATGATACAACACTAAGCTATTGAGTTTCCTGCATGATACAACACTAAGCTATTGAGTTTCCTGCATGATACAACACTAAGCTATTGAGTTTCCTGCATGATACAACACTAAGCTATTGAGTTTCCTGCATGATACAACATTAAGCTATTGAGTTTCCTGCATGATACAACACTAAGCTATTGAGTTTCCTGCATGATACAACACTAAGCTATTGAGTTTCCTGCATGATACAACACTAAGCTATTGAGTTTCCTGCATGATACAACACTAAGCTATTGAGTTTCCTGCATGATACAACACTAAGCTATTGAGTTTCCTGCATGATACAACACTAAGCTATTGAGTTTCCTGCATGATACAACACTAAGCTATTGAGTTTCCTGCATGATACAACATTAAGCTATTGAGTTTCCTGCATGATACAACACTAAGCTATTGAGTTTTCTACTGTTCTAACCTCGCTAATGAGTTCCTGCATGATGCTTACTAAGCTATTGGTTTCACCATGATACAACATTAAGCTATTGAGTTTCCTGCATGATACAACACTAAGCTATTGAGTTTCCTGCATGAGTAACACTAAGCTATTGAGTTTCCTGCATGATACAACACTAAGCTATTGAGTTTCCTGCAGGAGACAACACTAAACTATTGAGTTTCCTGCATGATACAACCTTACTAAGCTGTGGGTTTCCTGCATGATACAACACTAAGCTATTGAGTTTCCTACTGATACAACACTAAGCTATTGAGTTTCACATGATACATACTAAGCTATTGAGTTTCCTGCATGATACAACATTAAGCTATTGAGTTTCCTGCATGATACAACACTAAGCTATTGAGTTTCCTGCATGATACAACACTAAGCTATTGAGTTTCCTGCATGATACAACACTAAGCTATTGAGTTTCCTGCATGATACATACACTGACTCCTTATAGTGGGTGTCAAGTTCTTTTAATTTTTTATTGAGATAAAAATAAACGTACTACTATATTTAATTAAGGCGAAGGTCAATGTGAAGCTCACCTGAGATCTTGGCACAGACATAGTAGTCACCAATGCTCTCAATGATGGAGGCCACGGCGCCCCCCAACATCCCTATCACACCAACCACCGTCACTGTTGGTGTCCCCCACTGACCTGAGGAGGACAAGTTGTTGCCTCACTACACATGGACTGAATTGAAAACTGTTTTAGCTAGAAATATAAAAAATAAATTATATAGCAATATCTGAACATGTATGGTCTTAATCATAGTAACATGTATAGTACAGTATTACAATATATAAAAGACTTTTTGACATCGTATTACAGGTTAATGAGGCCAGTTCATCATGTTCACTTTTGTAAATTCACATGCATTGTAAATAGTGATTGTCAAAGAACGTAAATGACTGCTTGTATTAGATCATAAATAAGGAAACAATTATATCTTGATAATTACAGATAACAATTAATGGTTGTTTAAAGAACGACAAGACAGCAGGAAAAACAAACCTAGATCATAACATACACGAAATACTCTGTAAGGGTGTCATGTCTTTTCCCTTTGTTGTTCCAATAATTCCCCGGTACAGTATCTATACCACCTACCGGGATAAGGAACTCTGAACCATGGTGATTTCTCCAGTAAAGTACCGGTAGTGTCAGTACGTGCCGGGGAACCCTTGGGAAGAACGTCGAACGCCGTCAGGATGGCACAAATAGACCACGATAAGAACACTGTCGTCAGCACCTGCAGCAGTTATTACACACAGTTTACGAAGTTATAAAGCCATATTTTATAAATTTCTAATATGGAATGAGTGAGAAATATAACGTAAAGTCCAAAATGGGTAAGTCTCTTCCGAGAAAAACAACAGGAAGAGAAATTAGTTTCAGAAAATCACAAAACATATCGAAAAAATAAGAATGTTACGAGTAGAAAAGAACCAAGGATGATCAGGACCTACCGGAAAGCACTTGAAGAACTGGGTCTTGGCCACCTTGACGCCCCGACCCTTAGAGCCAAAGACAGGCACCGGCAGGGAGGTGTTACTCAGGTACTGCGAGAAGATGATCAACAGTGCCATCGTCCTGTTAAACGTGAAAACCAGAAACTTTACTCACAAACAACTCTTTGATATAAATAATTTCTTCAAGATATTCCACAAAAAGCACATGAATTCTTATATGGTTACTATTGTAAAGGTGGAGCGTCTTCCTTCATCAGGGTACCGTCTTGATATCTGAGGGTTGGCGACCACAGTTCTCCACTCTCAACCTAAGACTGTCTAAAAAAAAACTAAATAAAAACAATACTTAACCTAATCATTCACACATAATCTATGACTCTCTTGCAGGCGTACCTCGCTCTGCTGGTAACTGTGTAATACTTTTTCTGTCGTACTGCATACCAGCTGTATAAGTCATGTACAGTATCATGAAAATATACTGTTCGGTGGCTACAGTGGGTTTGGGATATGTTTCAAAATGATGAATTACCTTTGCATCACCCTCTGTCTCTTATTTTGTAATTCATTTAGTACTGCTGTTATTCTCTCTCTCTCTCTCTCTCTCTCTCTCTCTCTCTCTCTCTCGCTCTCTCTCCACCTAACTGCCTAATCAATTCTTATGTCAAAGAAAACGAGGGTAGTTTGAGAGTAAGGGGGGACTCACATAATGGAGATGCCCCAGTGTTGTGACGCCTTTTCTGCCGAGAGGTCGAAGAGGGAAAGGCCGACCAGCGTGACGGTGGGAACGATGGAGAGTGGTGTGATCCACCTCAGCAATAGACCGATCAACCCTGAAAAGTAAGTAATAATTGTCAGACCATCTCCGATCACTCCTGACAAATACTTAATATCAGTGTAAACAGTCTTCAAAAAAAATCATAAGGTTCATCTAATCAGTCATGAAGGGATCAGAGATTATCCGGAGGAGAGAGAAGCCCCTGAAGCCTGCTTACGGCCTCACCTGTGAAGCCTGTTTGATTATCCAATAGTAGAGTAGCTACGATTTTTTTAGTGAGGGTAAATCCAAATTTTCTACGAAATGGACGTGACAAATATACTGTTTATCAATCATCTATCTCACCAAACACAATAATTTACAGGCAATACAGAGAACCTATTAAGTGTGAGAAACACATGTAAGATAATACACCTGCAGTATTTGTCTTATACAAAAGCAGAATAAATGCATTATTCTTTTAACGATTTTGTATTATTGAAGATTTTTCCGCGTTTTATCCTCCAGAAAAGGTTGGTAAAGTTTCCTTATAAACAACCTTGTAACGACTTCACAACAATTGAGATACAGTATAAGCCAAATTTGACGGGCAAGGTCATCACAATCTCAAACAAGCAGTATAATAATGCTCTCAAATTGACCTTTTATCTCATATTTGATGATGAAGCTCGGAAGAGCTTCGTGATCCCTTGGTATAGTGTTTCCTTCACCAAGTTGCCAAACGTTCAGCAGTGCGTGTAAATATTCGTACTCGCGTTTCACTCTCCTGATTACGGAAAGGGGCGTGCTGACCTGGCCAGTGGCCATGTTGTTACCACCCAGCGGGATTGGATTGATAAACTGGATCATCATTACCTACAGTGGACCTTTCACTCATGTTTCACATTTACAGACAGAGGGAGAAATTTTCCAACATAATCCTTTCTGAGGCTTGGTGAGAGGGTGATTGCCCCCCAACCCCCTCTACCTACGCCAATGCTATCCAGGACATTGAAACCTCACCTGTAAAGCCCAAGATGATCTGGAAGAGTGAGGCGACAGCGATGGAGCCTTGCACCTCCCTGAGCCTGACCTGCCACACCTCCTCTTTCTCTGTCGTCGTTAAGTTGCCCAGGCAGATGCTATTACACGGCTCGTACGCCGTCGTCAGGAGGGCGATCGTTGGGACCACGTAGGCGAAATCTCCCCCCTGGATGATCGGCAGCCTGAGGGAGGGAGGTGGAATTATAAGTATTGAGAGACAGCTAGAGAAGGAGAGAACATAAGCAAGGAAGGAAGGAAGGAAGGAAGGAAGGAAGGAAAGTAGTACTGTCTTCGTGAGCAAGCTTAACAGTTTGTAGTTTACTGACGGTATATATATATATATATATATATATATATATATATATATATATATATATATATATATATATATATATATATATATATATATATATATATATATATATATATATATATATATATATGTTTATGTAGCTGTCCTTGTATCTATGTTGTTGATTTTTAGATTAAAACAAAAGAAACTGAAATTAAAATGTCAATTAATATTCTTCACATTGCACAGAAACATTTCGTAGAATTGCAGAGGAGCTCATGTGGCAGTACCTGACGCCGAAGGTTGTCTGCAGGAGGGTGACGATGCCAGAATGGAAGAAAACGGTGGAAACGAGAGCCCCCCTTGCTGGGTCGTCCTCTGACATACAGAGGAAGGATGCCACCAGGATGGGGATGGCTACGGTGCCCCCAGCCATCGTCAGGTAGTGCTGAAGGACACAAGAAGAGGAGGAACTTAAAATAATTACATTGCCCAATGAGTTATCCCCATTCTCAAGGTGTTTTTATTATACTGAATATTTTGTATTGTGTGTGTAGATGATTGACTTTAGTTCATGCTTCTCTGCGTTCTCTCCACCACTGTCAATCTTTATCATTTCATCCGGATTACAAGTTTTCTTGTGTTGTCCTCATCCTCAAAGGCTTTGCTTATTATTCAAATTAAATTTTCCGTTGTCATATTATTTCTTATGTCAACTACGATAAATTCAGAGTTTTTATAAACAACATCTGACAACACTGTTTTCATTCCCATTTCTTCAACAACAACAAAAAGTACAGGGAGAGAGCCAACAAGAGTCGTTGTTAGATTTATTCACCGAGGCGTCCGCGTCGTCCTTTTATTAAAGGCTGAAGATATTTGAGGCTGGATGATATAAACTGGTGGAGGTTATAAGACACAGCAGGGAGCTCCACACAGTAACCTGCTGTACTAATCCGGGGTATACATGAGAACAGAGCAGTGATTTTCAACCTTTTTCATCTCACGACACAGTGAGCCAGGCACTAAAATGGTCGAGGCACACCATCAGTATTTAAGGATAGATTTGATCATTTAAAAGAAAATGAATGATAAGAATGTGTTCATAATTTAAAAAACCTAATAATTTATTATTTTTATTACCAAAAGTATATTCTTGATCATGGTTTTCAAAATAATTTGAAAGTTTTGTGCATATTTGTTATCACTACACATTGAAACAAGATGTCATTGAAAAAGATGCCATACATTAAAAAATAATATGAAACTTTCAGATATTCTGTAGATTGTATTCAAATACAAACATGAGTAAAAATAAAAGGCCTTTGCTTACATGAAAATATCAGTGGGAAACCTGTGCTTGGTGTTGTCTCATGATGTTCCTTGTCCGAGGTCGAATGGTTGACAGGCATACCCTCAAGTCCTCCTCCAGTGTTTGAAGCTTCGACCTGTTCCTGCTTTTCATTGTGTTCATAGCAGAGAAGCCAGCTTCACACGATGTGGAGAAAGGAAGAAGTGCTTCAATTGCCTTCTTTGTAATGATGGTGTATTCCTCTCTAAGGAACAACCAGAATTAAGTCAAATCTGTTGATAGGTGCTTCAGTTTCAGTTCTCTGTCGTTTCTGATTTCCGTCAGCTCATCCTCTTCGGCAACAGTTAATCCTGCTGACTCGCACGCACTTACCACAAACGGATCTCTCGCCCAGTCCAAGGAAGATACATCAAGTGATGGGAAATACTTTTCAATGTTTTTACTCAGTAGCGACAAACGTTGTAGAATTAAACTGCCAAGATTTTTGTCCAGTCTGCTATCCAAATGCTATTTAAACTCTCGCGGCACACCTACGGATGCTTCGCGGCACACTAATGTGCCGCGGCACATTGGTTGAAAATCGCTGGAACAGAGGTTCTACAGATACCGAGATGCTCTCGTGGGTGGTGACACTGGTGAGGGCAGCTCGTCACAACACTGAACCTGGAATATCTATACAACAGGGAGAGTAATGAGGTACTGTATCTCTCTGAACGTTTAATGCCTGAAATTTTCTTGTAAGGTTATTATAAATAAATGTTTTGGTAGCTTGTTTCTGCACCGAATCGAGTAGGCTAAGTGCCACAACACCACGCACAGCCCAAAGATGACAGCAGTATTCCACCTGGCAGAGTGCATGACCGATAAGAATGGTTACCGGCTATAGATTTTACCAATCATCATTTTTTTTACTTCTTTTTCATCAATATTCTCCAACACCATATTAATTTGTATCTTCTATATTTCGTTCCTCCAACCATCCTTGATTGTTTGTTAATTGTGTTAATTTTATAGAAGCCCCAGTGGAAAGACGGGTATATTTATTATTGTTGTCCCGCCCACTCAATTTATAAGGTCAAGCTTTAACTCATGGTGTAAAAACACGAGGCCGGTTGCAAGCGAGGTCAAGTCAAACCCAAAGGCGTTTTACAGCTATGCAAAGTCGAAATTAAAAACGCGAGTAGGAGTATCAGACCTGAGGCTTGAAGATAGTAGTTATGCAGATTCTGACCAGGATAAAGCTGAGGCATTGAACAGCTTCTTTCCCTCGGTGTTCACAAGAGAGGATGCGATTAACCTTCCTGCGTTTGAGGACAGACGGTTCGACACAGCACTGACCCTCATTGTGTTCACAGAAGAGGGTATTAGAAATAAACTGTCAAAGCTAAAGGTCCATAACAGTCCCGGCCCTGACAATGTGCATCCTAGAGTGCTAAGAAAGTTGAGCAACGAGCTTGCCGAGCCCCTTAAGATCCTGTTTTGTAAATGCCTGGATGAACAAAAGGTCCCCAGTGAATGGAAAGTGGCTTATGTGAGTCCTATCTTCAAGAAGGGCGATCGTCACTCCACGAACAACTATAGACCGGTGAGCCTGACCAGCATAGTATGTAAAGTACTTGAGAGTATTATCAGAGATGCCGCGATGGAACATCTACTACGAAACAACCTTGTAAAGGATTGCCAACACGGTTTTATGCCAGGGCGCTCCTGCTTAACACAATTGCTCAAGGTATTGGATATTTGGACCCATATTCTGGAACGGGGAGGCAATATCGACAATATTTACCTAGATTTTGCCAATTGGAAGGGTACGGAATTCGGAGAAATGACCTAGTGTGGATAGCAGACTTTTTACACGACCGCAAGCAGTGTGTGGTGATTAATGGCACGAAATCATCATCCGTATCCGTCACAAGCGGGGTACCACAGGGCAGTGTGTTGGGCCCGCTGTTGTTTGTTTGTTTCATAAATGACATTCCTGACCTTGTACACTCCTCCATACAAATGTTTGCCGATGACGCCAAGTTATTTCGGGAAATCAAGAACCAAGCGGACTGTGAAGAGCTGCAGAAGGACCTCTGTGGGCTCCAAGAATGGTCGCAGAAATGGCTGCTGAGATTCAATGTCAGGAAGTGTATGAGGACGCACCTGGGGCGTACCAACGGTAAGGAGGCGTATCATATGTCCCAACGGGAAGAAGAAACTGCACTATTTGAGACTGAATGTGAGAAGGACCTAGGTGTGTATGTTGACAATGAGCTGAAGTTCTCGGGCCATTGCGAGAAGAAGGTAAATCAGGCAAATAAATTATTGGGTCTTATAAGAGGTAACGATCTTCAAGAGTGAAGTGCTTCCCCATCTGGAGTACTGTCACCCCGTCTGGTCCCCGAGATACGCTCGGGGCTGTCATTTGGTTGAAAATGCTCAAAGGAGGGCCACCAGACTGGTGCCTGCCCTTCGTCACCTCAGCTACCTTGAGAGATTGGAGCGCCTGAACTTGCCTAGCTTATACTACAGACGAACAAGGGGTGACCTAATTGAGGTGTATAAGCATCTCAAGGGGCACTACTCAGACGAGTGTCCTTACTTGGAGCTGGCGGACGCTCGACCCACAAGGGGTCACAGCTCAAGATTGAAAAAGCCGCAAGTCCAGAAAACTGTGAGGGCAAACTTTTTCGGAGTGAGAGTTGTGAACTCTTGGAACAATCTACCAGAAAGTGTTGTGACGGCACCGAGTGTGAGCTCTTTCAAGATAAGACTTGACCAACACTGGAGCAGGTTCAGGTACATTCAGGAGCCGGTGCATGCCCAGTACTTGCCAACAGTGCGTAACAGAGACATGACCGATCGCCCAAGCGGCTGACGAGCCGATCAGTGGTGAAGAGGATAAAGGTAAAGTAAGTAGGACGTAGGTCCCCTATGACGTCACGCGCCAGATCTTGGCCGTGTCGGGTCTTGCTCTGTGTTAACAAACCTACTCTGGAGGATATTATTCACTCTTATTAATCACTGCCACCAAGTCCACGATGAACATTTATATACAATTACTGTAAAACCTTTCACATTAGAAACTACTAATATTCCATTATTTTAAAACGAGGACAGTTTTCATCATTTACAATCTTGAAAACAAATTAAGTGAAAAGAAAAGGAAATAAGGAAAAAGTTTATAAACAGAGACACGGTAAGTGTGGATGGATCTATTTTCACTCACTGAACTCCCACACAGGTTTGGTGACGTCCGCAACTGTCATGAAACTTAGGAAGGAAAAGCAAGTATGACAACTACGCTAAATGTTCCCGGGTGAAGCGAGCGGTGTACAGCTACGTGACCTCATATTCTTTGGATCTTGCTCTCACTGAGGAGTCCAGAGACTCGTGACGTCATGCGGAGAACAAGTGTGTTTGGGATTCCTCTCTTGTTGACTTAGTGTATTTAGATAATGCTTCAACTAATTCGGGACATCATCATTTTGCCTGCATAAGCTGGACCATTGATTGGTAATAATCATGACTGACTCTCATTCAATGAGAACTTTTGCCAGCCTCTCGTCATCCACCAGTTTACACTATGTTTGTGTGTGTGTGTGTGTGTGTGTGTGTGTGCCTCTCTCTCCTCACCTGGAAGCCGAAGAAGATAGACAGGTACCAGGGGGGGACGTCCTCCACGGTGTAGATGAGATCGTCGTCAGGTGAGTCTCCATCTGTCCTGAGCGACCACCTATAGAAAGAATTATAACACAAGCTGAAGGGCAGAGTAGAAGCCACTATACGTATGTTAAAGTATGAATCAAAATACAGAAGAAAACTCAGACTACGTGAGATAGATCTTGAAGGTCACATGCAGGTTATGTCACACCTCCGAAGACTCAAAACATCTCCGCTGTACTGGATGTCTTGAGTCAGTAGAAAGGATCACTCAAGTTTCATCTGTTATCCATTAAAGTCGGAGAGAATGGTAGATTTCCCCTAATATGGCGGCAAACTTTCAACTTTGAATTCTTGCCTCCTTAAAGTACCACACGCCTCACCGAACACAACTGAAGAAAGTGATGCAAAATCTAAATCCAATTGGTTGAAGAGTTGAAGCATCAAAAGGAAACAAAGACCCCCCCCCCCTTAGAGTGAGTGGTGTCTGCTGATCTATTAACATTCGCGCACTATTTTTATTAGAGGAAAACTATGTTTTATCCATTTACGGAGGTCTGGAAGCTCTCGTCGTCAACAGTGTGTATGTGGGAGGTGGAGACAATAACGTGACGTGAACCTACCGCTCATCCTGGGGGTCGAGTGAGTTAGCTTCGCTCTGCTTACTGGTGGAAGCCTTCATCTTTCCTGCTGGGGAAGATCTAGAGTAAATGTCTCTCTCTACACCTTATTGCCACATGGAGGAATTACTCTAGTTGCAATTTACATGCAAATCTGTTCTTGTATTGATATTTCTGAATAAACTTTCTCCTCGGGATTTTAATTCTCGTCAGACCTCGGCTTAGCCAAGGCATCAACACTGACGTATACACCAAAATTACAATAGCAGCAATTATAATAGACATGTAGTAGCAGCAGCAGTAGTAGTAGTAGTAGTACTGTAGTAGTAGTAACTTAGCTTTCGATGCTGCACACAGGAGGAACGAGAACGACAAGATAAGGGAATACGGGGAGAGAATTCAGAACGTTGATCAAGGCAGCTTCACTCTTCTAGTGCTCACAACCTCTGGTGGGATGGAACCAAGTGCAAGATGCTTCTACGCCAGACTCGCGGAGGTGCTTGAGGTGTTATCCGAACAGAAGCAGCAGCCCAGAAGTAATGTTACAGCCTGGATGAAATGTCGACTGTCCTTCTCTCTCCTTACGCCGGCTTTGCTCTGCCTCAGGAGAACGAGAGCATCGGCCCCAAAGTCGACAACAGTTGCAGATATTGACTATGAGGCAACAGTCACTGAATGCCACAGATCTGCAGCTCAACTAACTCAACACAGCTAGGATAGCTACTTATGTATTAGGATATTTAATTTTATGGTAATAAAATGATGGCGAAGGTGTAGCTATAAGGGAAGGATGGAGACCATTAAAAAAAAGTAGTAGTAGTAGTAGTAGAGTAGTAGTAGTAGTAGTAGTAGTAGTAGTAGAGTAGTAGTAGTAGCAGTTAAAATCAAATTACTAACATTGCTTTTACCACCGATACACTTTTACTTTCAACTCTACTACTACTACCACTACTATTACTATCGCCATTTTATTATCTTAAAATTAAATTAAATATCCTAATACAAAAGTAGCTACCCTAGCTGTGTTGAGTTAGTTAAGCTGCAAATCTATGAGGCAATCAGTGACAGTTGCCTCATAGTCAATATCTGTGACTGTTGTCGGCTTTGGGGCCGACGATCTCGTTTCCCTGAGGCAAAGCATGCAGACCTAAGCAGAGAGAAGGACAGTCGACATCTCAACCAGTCTGTAACGTAACTTCTGGGCTGCTGCTTCTGCTCGGCCAACACCTCCGTCAGTCTTGTGTAGAAGCGTCCTCCACTTGGTCCCATCCCGCCAGAGGTTGTGAACACCAGAGGAGTGAAGCTGACCTGATCTACATTCTGAATTCTCTGCGAATACGCCCTAATCTTGTCGTTCTCGTTCCTCTTGTGTTCAGCATCGAGAGACAACTTACGGTAACATGCGGCCATGGGGTCGAATATCCTGATATCAAAGAAAGCCCGCTGTCCCCGTGTCCAGAATCCTCGAGCGCTGACGTCCACACGGGCTTCGTTAGATGTGTTGGAAGTCCTATGACGGAGGTTCTCATCGTCCAATGGAAAGAGGGGCGGTTCCACCGGGACGTCGTGGCAGATTTCCTTCAGGAAATTTGCTGAGATCCCTTACTTCGTCATGCCTCATGCATACAGCGCCCCCTTTCTTGCACACCATGGCGTGGTCAATGTCATAAGAAGAGCCACACACGCATGAGGAGGGCAAACCTTCTACTGGCCTACTGTACCTGAGAGAAATGGCATCTGTGAATTCTTGTTTATTAAGGCTGAAACATTTGCCCTAATCGGTAACGTTGTTGGCCAGTTCGAGGCGCCCACCTCCTGCGCTATAGCTATTTTTTCCCCCCATGTTCAATGGCAATTGCAACATCAGTTGCTGCAGTTTATCACTTTGGTTATGCTGTCGATCTGTCGTAATGGACCGTCGAATCTTGTTTAATTCGTTGGTATCCACCTCACTTGTTGCAATCCGAGTTATTATGTGCTCAGTGAGGGCTGCCGTGAGCTAGACAGAGTTCTGATGTTCGGTGGCAGCAATCTCCTCTGGATTGGTCATTCCCATTCCCCCCAGTCTCGATGGTAGTGCAAGGATTGGCCTTTCTGTTGGGGTTAAGTGAAAGTGTTTCACTAATTTTGGAATAAAAATAACACTGATAGCTTCTCCCAGAGGGCGGAGGAGGGGTCCGATATCAGGAATAGTGGGCATCAGGTAATTCAAGCGATGCTTGACTCCATGGGTGAATGTGGCTCTGTTTTAGCAATATCCGACAGAGCTTGAATTTCCTTCACCAACTCATTTACCTTTCCCGTTATGTACTCGGTCTTGAAGTCATTCGTGCCGATTACCGCACCTTGGTGTCTTTGGTCCTCCTTTGTTATTTTGACCACACTTCCACCGAACACCTCCATTACCTGTTCATTGTGTTCTGGCTTTACAATGAGGAAGGACTTACTAGCATTTGGGTGGTACCCTATTTGTGGACCACGTGATGTTACCAGGTCCCACCACTTTTTGATGTCCTCCACTTTTCCTGCTCCTGTAAGGTCGTCAGCATAAACCACTTGCTTGATCTCCATTGTTTCAAATTTTATTGTGTGTTGGAGCACGGATAGGCCAGTGTGTGCATTGCCATGGTGACAGGGTCCCCCTGCATTGTTCTCTCAGTTGACTGTTTGGTGGTATCTCCTTTTAGGGCCCTGGAGCTTGTTATATAGAGGTTTGATGGGTTCCTGTAGGTGTTTTCAACATACATTACAATGCTTGGACACTTGACCTTGATGTTGTGCAGTGTAGCTTGCGGTTGATTATGTTGAATGCGTTGGAAGCGTCAACCATGAGTACTGCTTCACAATCATGCTGCTCAAATATCTTTCTCATGGCATGAATGGCAGCTTCCCCCCCCAGCCTGGTGGCCAACACATACTTGCAGGTTCCCTGCAGCTGCCCTAACATTATCATTTTCCACCTACTACTACTAATACTGCTACTGCTACTATTACTACAACTACAAATAATAATAATAATAATAATAATAATAATAATAATAATAATAATAAGCTCACTAGACCATTCATTAGCATAAAGTTGACCAAGCTACAATATGGCATCAATCACCATATAACCTACAGAGAAAGTGATATTAAAGTTACTGAGATGAACATAAAAATGGTAAATAGGTAAATAAGGTAAACAAACACCGTGACCAGGTGACGTAAACATGCTGACTAATACATGAGATAACTAACTGAATCATCACACTTAAAATTTTACAATTTAGCGAAAAGTTCTCATCAACAAGTCTGCTTGTGCCCAGCTCACATCATCCTCAACTTCCAAATGGTACCTCAACTTTGTTTTGATTGATGAATACTCCAGGTAAGACTCACAGAAAGAGAGGAGCGTTTTTAGTATGATTTTCCAACTACTTTCGAAATGTCGCAAAAATTATAAATTCTTGGATAATCGTTCACATGCTCTCGGATATCATACTATTACTACTACTTTGCTGTCACTCGGAATCGAGTATGACGATCATCCAGCTAAGATACAATGATGTGAGTTATTAAGGATGTCACCTTCGTTGGTGAGCTCTCAGATGACTAGAGACGCTGACATGGGACCGGAAGGACCGTCCAGAGATATTGCATGTGTGGAGGGCTACTTCTGGTGCGGGTAGGGATGCTGGCAGCACCTTTCCAGTGCTGGCGCTTGTGTGCTTCGGTATGCAGTCGGGCTAACTCGAAAGTATTGACACCTTCTTGTGTGGTGCTCCTCCAAGTGTTACAATGTGAAGTAATCGTCTCCCAAGTGAGGGGTGGTCGATTTGGCACTTTTTTAGGTTTGTCTTAAGACTATCCTTAAGCCTTTTCAGTTGTCCGCCAGCGTTAAGTTTATCATTTGTTCGGTGACTGTTCTGATGATGATGGAAAGTGTGATGAGCTGTGCACGAGTTGATTTATGTGGTGAGACAGGAACGCAGGCTGCAACCACACATCTTGGCTCTCCCTTTACCTGATCCTGGGGAGAGGAAAAGTTGCAATGCGCTGCCGATAGTAGCCTGTCCATCTTGCATTGCCTTCATCCGATGGTGTAGCTGTTGGGTTCCTGTGTTGGTCACCTCTTCCATCTATTTCGCCATTGGGGGTCTTACTGAAGCTCTGTAAGCATGTCTGCCTGATGCGAGGTTCCATCGCAGATTTTTCGTTTGGGGTTTACTCCCGTAGACTTATACCTACCAAGGTTAATCTGCAAGGCAGTGGGGCGGTGGTTGGGAGACGCCAGAACGTGTCCACATGCCGGTTGGCCTATACGCTGTCCCTCTGGGGCCCACTGCTACTCGGAGATCCCCTGCTGGTCTTGTCTGGGGCAGCGAGGCACCCAGCTAAAAACACATACACATTTACAAACACACACTTCTCCCAGCGTCCCTTCCACTTTTCAAAACAGTCTGCAAAGTCCTCTTTCGTGATCTCCATCTGCTGCCTCGTCGCATTCTCTTTAATCTCGTCCATGGTCTGATATCTCCTCCCTCTCAATGGCGATTTTAGCTTTGAGAAAAGCCAGAAATCGCAGGGAGCCAAATCTGGGCTGTAGGGGGGCTGAGAGACCTGGGTGATGTGATGTTTTGCCAATAAACCCTGCAAGAGACGTGAAGAACCTGCCAGTCACCACTTGCCCACAGCTGCAGTCGTTTCTTCTTACAGCATCCCTCAGCCGGCGAAAAACTTCGATGTAGTACTCCTTCGTTATTGTTTGGCCTGGACGAGATTAAGGAAAATGCGACGAGGCAGCTGATGGAGATCCCGAAAGAGGACTTTGCAGACTGTTTTGGTGGGAGTGACGCTGGGAGAAATGTGTGAGGTCCCAAGGGGAGTACCTTGAAGGGGACTAAGGCGCCATTTTCCTAGGTAAGCATAATTTTTTTTAATAGTAAATGGCTGGATACTTTCCGGACAGACCTCGTATGTAACCATTGTGTTCTTGCTTTGTATGCCTTTTTGTGCCAGATGCCTGTAATAGTCCTGATGTGTTGTTATGATTGTATGTAGTGTGAAACCATGACAAAAGGTAAC